CACACAATCTATATAAATAAAAATGTAATGTTCATTTGTGGGATTAACATAACTCAAAAACCACTGGACGAATTGACACCAATTTGGACACAATACACCTATCAGGCCAATAAATGACCATCACTCATAAAGACACTGAAAAACACAGCAGAAGGGACTTAAAATGCCAAAAAAGCAAAAAGATGCTGCCAACAAGTGACCATCACTCATAAAACATTGGAAAACACAGCAGATGAGACTTTAAAAGCCAAAAAACAAAAATACATTACAACACATGCACAAAACCACATATACACACAAACACACATATATACACATATACACAAATACACACACATATATATATGAATATATACACACACACAAAACACATATACACAGACTGGGCCACAGCAACTCATGGCAGGGGACAGCTGGTTTGAAATATACAAATATGCAAACATTAAAACACAATTAAATATAAAGAGTATTTTAAAAATCCCAGTTAATAACCATTAAAACCAATTCAAAATTATGCAGATGTGTCCCTAAAGAGCCGAATAACTGTGTTAAACATGAGCCAACAATGAGATTTGGTGGCAAAAAAAGCCAATGGGATTTTGGCCTGCATCAAGAGGAGCCTAGTGTCTAGATCTAGGGAAGTCATGCTCCCCATGCTCTATTCCGCTTTGGTTAGACCACTTTACCTGGAATATTGTGTCCAATTCTGGGCACCACAATTCAAGAGAGATATTGACAAGCTGGAATGTGTCCAGAGGAGGGCGACTAAAATGATCAAGGGTCAGGAGAACAAGCCCTATGAGGAGCGGCTTAAGGAGCTGGGCATGTTTAGCCTGAAGAAGAGAAGGCTGAGAGGAGACATGATAGCCATGTATAAATATGTGAGAGGAAGCCACAGGGAGAAGGGAGCAAGCTTGTTTAGTCCTTCCCAGTAATGCTACGCCTCTATTCCGCCTTGGTTAGACCACACCTGGAATATTGTGTCCAATTCTGGGCACCACAATTCAAGAGAAATATTGACAAGCTGGAATGTGTCCAGAGGAGGGCGACTAAAATGATCCAGGGTCTGGAGAACAAGCCCTATGAGGAGCGGCTTAAGGAGCTGGGCATGTTTAGCCTGAAGAAGAGAAGGCTGAGAGGAGATATGATAGCCATGTATAAATATGTGAGAGGAAGCCACAGGGAGGAGGGAGCAAGCTTGTTTACTACTTCCCTGGAGACTAGAATGCGAAACAATGGCTTCAAACTACAAGAGAGGAGATTCCATCTGAACATTAGGAAGAACTTCCTGACTGTGAGAGCCGTTCAGCAGTGGAACTCTCTGCCCCGGAGTGTGGTGGAGGCTCCTTCTTTGGAAGCTTTTAAAAAGGCTGGATGGCCATCTGTCAGGGGTGATTTGAATGCAATATTCCTGCTTCTTGGCAGAAGAGGGTTGGACTGGATGATGGCCCAGGAGGTCTCTTCCAACTCTTGGATTCTAGGATTCTATGTTGCGAAATGATACGCAACTCAAAACTGCATTGCCAACATGAAATGTTTGGAAAGCCCTGGCCTAGGCATTAATAAACAGCGCTGATACGGAATCTGTCCTCCGCCCTGTTTGAATGAGGAATGTTTTGCAGATTAACACGAAAAGCAACCCAATGTGTTTTTTGAAAGTGCAAAGGAAAATATTTGCACACAGGGCGGTGTCTGGTAATGCTTTTCTGCCAAGAAGATCTTCAAACTCAAGCAGGAGAAGGAACCAAGTCAGAGCCCAACACAGTGCTGTACCTTCCTTGTGTTGTTGTGCATCCTAGAACATTAAAACACATGGAAGGGGGGGTGGGCTTGTGGTTTTCGCTGTGGTCTTCCTTAGAAGGCTCCAGATGGGCTGGGACGGATCCAAGCTCCTCCAAGAGGTCTCCGTTTCCAAGCTGGTCTCAAGCCAAGGGCTTTGACTCATCCGCAGCCTTGACTTTTTGATACCAGCCGAGGGAGAACGCAAAACTTTTCCACTAAATGCAAGGGAGGGCTTCTCCACTTGCAAAGCCGCTTGTGTTTACCACAATCCCTTCCACTTGAATTAGTTCTTGCTTTACTCTGATGCAGAGGGGCTATCTGCACCAGTCGCATAACATACATCAAACCTTAGTGGTTGAATGGTCGTTTTGTCCCTGCATCCCAGAGCAAACTCATGTTATCCTTTACCTAGTTTCAAAATTAACGGCAGCAGAAATGGTTTGCCTTTCTCAAAGCCGTAAGAACTAATACTAATAATAATATTTCCTCCTGAGAAAAATGTATAATATCCCAAAGGATTACCACCTCACCCGCCTCATAGGAAACCTGCTACAAAACAGGAGCTTTCTTGTTGAGTTTCAGGGCCAAAGAAGCAAATGGCGAAAGCAGAAGAATGGCCTGCCTCAGGGGAGCGTGCTTGCTCCATCAGTGTTTAACATCTACACAAATGATAAGCCAGAAGGGACAGAGAGTTTCATCTATGCTGACGATCGTGCCATCACCACCCAAGCAGGGAGCTTTGAGATGGTTGAACAGAAGCTCTCCGAAGCTCTAGGTGCCCTTACTGCCTACTACAGGGAAAACCAGCTGATTCCTGATTCATTTAGGAATTGAAAACTAGAATTCTCTCTTTGGCCATCTGTTTCTAAAAACATTACCACAATTTAAATAGCATAATTAGTGTACTTATTATTCAGTGTATAAATACGATCCTTCTTGAACATTTCAAAAGTCAGCAATAAATACAAAATAGATCTAATTTAATAAATGCATACATGTGCTTTTCAGCTTAAGAACAGACAAGCATCTCGAGCTCTGGGGATTATTACCTGGGAAGGAATCCCACTGGAGCATTGCAGCACACCAAAACACCAGGGAGTTACTGTGGACTGTGCTCTGATCTACAAGAAGCACTGCCTGAACATCAAGCAAAAAGTGGGTGCTAGAAACAACATCATACGAAAGCTGACTGGCACAACCTGGGGATCACAACCAGACACAGTGAAGACATCTGCCCTTGCGCTATGCTACTCTGCTGCTGAGTATGCATGCCCAGTGTGGAACACATCTCACCACACTAAAACAGTGGATGTGGCTCTTAATGAGACATGCCGCATTATCACAGGGTGTCTGCCGCCTACACCACTGGAGAAATTACACTGTTTAGCCGGTATTGCACCACCTGACATCTGCCGGGAAGTAGCAGCCAATAGTGAAAGGACCAAGGCAGTGACATCTCCAGCTCATCCCCTGTTTGGGTATCAGCCAGCATGTCAATGACTTAAATCAATAAATAGTTTTCTAAGATCTACAGAGACACTCACTGGAACACCCCAGCAAGCGAGAGTCCAAAAGTGGCAGGCTCAAACCCAGAACCTCAATCAATGGCTGATACCAAATGAGAGACACACAGAAAACTGGACAACTTGGAAGGCGCTGAACAGACTGCGCTCTGGCACCACAAGATGCAGAGCCAACCTTAAGAAATGGGGCCACAAAGTGGAATCCACGACATGCGAGTGTGGAGAAGAGCAAACCACTGACCACCTGCTGCAATGCAACCTGAGCCCTGCCACATGCACAATGGAGGACCTTCTTATAGCAACACCAGAGGCACTCCAAGTGGCCAGATACTGGTCAAAGGACATTTAATAGAATGCCAAGTTTGCAAACTTTGTGTGTTTATGTGTTTTTAATACAATACAATTGTTTGGTTTGCACCTGACACGATAAATATATTATTATTATTATTATTATTATTATTATTATTATTATTATTATTATTATTATTAAAGCCCCTTGACATCAAAGAGAAGGAGAGACAGTGTTGTGGGACCAGGATTCAGAGGCCCCATCTACCCTGTTATAATGAGTCCAATTGGAATATTGTGTCCAATTCTGGGCACCACAATTGAAGAGAGATATTGACAAGCTGGGATGTGTCCAGAGGAGGGCGACTAAAATGATCAAGGGTCTGGAGAACAAGCCCTATGAGGAGCGGCTTAAGGAGCTGGGCATGTTTAGCATGAAGAAGAGAAGGCTGAGAGGAGATATGATGAGAGCCATGTATAAATATGTGAGAGGAAGCCACAGGGAGGACGGAGCAAGCTTGTTTTCTGCTTCCTTGGAGACTAGGACGCAATGGAACAATGGCTTCAAACTACAAGAGAGGAGATTCCATCTGAACATGAGGAAGAACTTCCTGACTGTGAGAGCGTTCAGCAGTGGAACTCTCTGCCCCGGAGTGTGGTGGAGGCTCCTTCTTTGGAAGCTTTTAAACAGAGGCTGGATGGCCATCTGTCAGGGGTGATTTGAATGCAACATTACTGCTTCTTGGCAGAATGGGGTTGGACTGGATGGCCCATGAGGTCTCTTCCAACTCTTGGATTCTATGATTCTATGAATGCAGATTGAACTACATTACATGGCCATATGATCCAGCTCAATCCAAATAAACAGCATTATAGGAGTCTACACTGACCTGAGAAACCAGGGTTCAAATCCTCCTTTGAGCACTGAAATCCAAAGAACGTCCTTTGGAAAGTCACACTCCCTCAGCCTCAGAAGAAGGCAAGTGCAGACTTCCTTGGAATCACTCAAAGCCGAGTGTGGTTTGCATAATGCACTTGGATTTTTGGAGACTAGAGACTGAATTCAGCTCTGGTATCCTACTCAGAAACCTTGGGTATGTCGAACTCTCTCAGCTTCAGAGGAACTTGCTTTCAAGAGAGGAGATTCCATCTAAACATTAGGAAGAACTTCCTGACTGTGAGAGCCGTTCAGCAGTGGAACTCTCTGCCCCGGAGTGTGGTGGAGGCTCCTTCTTTGGAAGCTTTTAAACAGAGGCTGGATGGCCATCAGTCAGGGGTGATTTGAATGCAATATTCCTGCTTCTTGGCAGAATGGGGTTGGACTGGATGATGGCCCACCAGGTCTCTTCCAACTCTTTGATTCTATGATTCAACGATTCAGCCCATAATGAAAGGCGAAACACTTACTTTGGCCACTCCAATCTGCTCCTTGCGGAAGTTTTCCAACGGTTTGATCAACAGGTCGCTAGCGTTTTGCACCTACAGAAGGAAAGTAAACACAAATTCTGTAAGTCCTCATTCAGTTTGAGAACATTGGATGTAGCCTTCCAGGTCAGAAGATGGACACCCAAATCTGTCCTGGGTTTCAGGAGAGTTGCTGTGGGTTTTTCAGGCTGTCTGGCCAATGTGTTCCAGTATCATTCTTTCCTGATGTTTCGCCTGCATCTGTGGCGATCATTTTTAGAAGTTCTGTTGACAATGAGGCAAGTGGAGTGTGTGTGTGTGTGTGTATACATATACATATACACAGGCCCGTAGCCAGGATTTTGATTCGGGGGGAGGGGAGCTGAGTTTGATTGGGGGGGGGGGGCTGAGTCTGAGTGAAAGAGGGTCTACCCTAGCAAACCTTTTGTATCGTTACCCCAATACCCCCATGCATATGGGATATATTGAGCATGGTGATCAGATCATGATATGAATAAACATAACAGTTTAAATAATGTATCAGTAAGGCCTTCTCACGGACCACCATGAGAATTTCGGGGAGGGGGTGAAGCCCCTCAAGCCCCCCCCCCCCGGCTACATGCCTGCATATACATATACATATACATACATATATCTGGAATAATGTCCAGGGTGGAAGAACCCTTGTCTGTTTAAAGCAAGTGTGAATGTTGCAATTTAGCAAGGAGACAATGCTGCTAGAACACATTGGCCACACAGCCCGGAAAACACACAACACCCCAGTCTTTTGGGTCTCTACCTGACCCAAATGCTGTAAATACTCTCCAAATGAAGACCTCCAAACCCTTGGGACCATCAAGGAAGAGCAATGGGCCTTACCATCATGGACCTTTCCAGTTCGACCTCCTGGAGCAGCTCCGCAAATTCCTTAAAGGATTCGGCTGCAAAGGAAAGAAAGGCAAACAACGGATCAAAGGATTGAATCCAGGAAGCCGAAGCATAATCCTCAGTTACCAATACCATTAGAGTATATCTATATTTTAAAAGTTATTTGTAAATGGGTGGCAAACAAACTTTAAAAAGAGATGCAAAAGAAAAAAATATTCAAATGTTTAAAATAAACGAGCAAGAAATAAAAGAAGAACAAAAGATAAAGCAAGCTTTCCAAAAATATTTTAAAGAACTTTATATTTAAAAAAAAGAGAGGAATAGCACAAAAACAAAGCCAAGAATATCTTCAAAAGGAGAGTCTTCCAACTATCTCAGAGGAGGAACACAAATTATTAAACAATCCAATTACAATGAATGAAGTGACATCGGCCATCCAAGGGTTGAAATTAGATAAAGCACCCGGACCAGATGGCTTCACTGCAATTTATGACATAGCTTTCACGGGTGAAATAGCACAACCACTTCACATATATTTTTGAAAAAGGAGGTAACAGAAACGTGACAAAAAGCCAACGTTACACTGATGTCCAAAAGAAGATCAAAGTTCCCTAAAAGTTCAGTATTATAGACCTATTTCACTGCTATATATGGACTATGAAATAGTCACGTCAATACTAGCAAATAGATTCATAATACGGGAGGGAATGCATCTTATACTGGTGGGCATTTGCACACCTGTCATGCACCTGGATTGCCTTGGACGCTGGATGATGGGTGTTGTAGTCTGGCAGCATCCGGAGGGAGAGCTACAGGTTGAAAGGATGGCTATTGATGTCAAGCACTTTTGTTGGGACTACAACTTCCATCACCCTCCGTTTGTGAGAGATGATGGGAGTTCGGAGTCCAACAGGACCCAGAGGTTCAAGAGGAGAGCGCCTTGATGGCTATCGCTGTAGAAAAGGACCACCTTCCAGTCCATTTGGGACTGCAACTCCCATCATCCTGAATTTGCGAGGGATAATGGGAGTTGGAGTTCCAGCAGCATCAGGAGGTTCAAGAGGAGCACATTGATGGCTATCACTGTAGAAAAGGACCACCTTCCAGTCCATTTGGGACTGCAACTCCCATCATCCTGCATTTGCAAGGGATAATGGGAGTTGGAGTCCCAGCAGCATCAGGAGGTTCAAGAGGAGCACATTGATCGCTATCACTGTAGAAAAGGACCACCTTCCACACAACCTCCTCTGTGGAAATATTATATATATATGTACTAGCTGTCCCCTGCCAAATGTTGCTGTGGCTCAGTCTGTGTATATGTGTTTTGTGTGTGTATATATGTGTTTATTTCTGTGTATATATGTGTATATATGTGTATATATGTGTGTGTGTATTTATGTGTGTATAATTGTGTATATATTTGTGTATTTGTGTTTATATGTGTATATGTATATTGTGTATATATATAATAACTGTACCTTATTTGACCTGGTTTGGGGCAACAAATGCTTGTGTATTTGTGTATATGCATATATGTGTATATGTATGTATAGATGTATATGCGTGTAGGTGTATATGTATGATAATAAAACTTTATTTATACCCTGCCACCATCTCCCCAAGGGACTCGGAGCGGCTTACATGAGGCCAAGCCCAACAGTACATCAATGTATGTGTGTGTCTATGTGTATATTTGTGTGTGCTTGCGTATATATATGTGTGTCTGTATGTAAGTGTGCATGGGTATATGCATATTTCTGTGTATATGTATATTGTGTATATGTCTGTTTATATGTGTGTAAGTGTATATGTGCGTAGGTGTATATGTAGGTGTGTATATGTGTATATTTGTGTGTGCTTGCATATATATGTGTGTGTGTCTGTATGTAAGTGTGCATGTGTATATGCATATTTCTGTGTATATGTATATTGTGTATATGTGTGTTTATATGAGTGTAAGTGTATATGTATATGGGTGTAGGTGTATATGTAGGTGTGTATATGTGTATATTTGTGTGTGCTTGCTGTAACGCAATTTAGAGGCTGACCCTATGTTAAATATGTCAATGACCGATGTTATTGGTAGTATTAGCCGCCACCACCTCAGAATTATTGGTCTGAGGAACCAAAGGTGTGAATGTGTTGTAGGTAAGGTGTGTTTGAGCTCTTAATTCTTCTATTGCTTCTTCACTGGATGACTGGACTTTAAAAGGGTTTGACAGACGCTTTTTCCTCTTAGGCAGAAAAAACGAAATGCAAAGATACAGAATGGGGACAATGCCTGGCTCGAGAGCAGTACGTGTGAAAAAGATCTTGGAGTCCTCGTGGACAACAAGTTAAACATGAGCCAGGAATGTGATGTGGCGGCAAAAAAAGCCAATGGGATTTTGGCCTGCATCAATAGGAGCCTAGTGTCTAGATCTAAAGAAGTAATGCTACCCCTCTATTCTGCTTTGGTTAGACCACATCTGGAATATTGTGTCCAATTCTGGGCACCACAATTCAAGAGAGATATTGACAAGCTGGAATGTGTCCAGAGGAGGGCGACTAAAATGATCAAGGGTCTGGAGAACAAGCCCTATGGGGAGCGGCCAGCCTTGTTTGTCCTGAGGCTGAGAGGAGATATGATAGCCATGTATAAATATGTGAGAGGAAGCCACAGGGAGGAGGGAGAAAGCTTGTTTTCTGCTTCCTTGGAGACTAGGACGCGGAACAATGGCTTCAAACTACAAGAGAGGAGATTCCATCTGAACATTAGGAAGAACTTCCTGACTGTGAGAGCCGTTCAGCAGTGGAACTCTCTGCCCCGGAGTGTGGTGGAGGCTCCTTCTTTGGAAGCTTTTAAGCAGAGGCTGGATGGCCATTTGTCAGGGGTGATTAGAATGCAATATTCCTGCTTCTTGGCAGGGGGTTGGACTGGATGGCCCATGAGGTCTCTTCCAACTCTTTGATTCTATGATTCTATGTGTGGTAGGTAAGGTGTGTTTGAGCTCTTAATTCTTTCTATTGCTTCTTCACTGGATGACTGGACTTTAAAATGGTTTGGTAGACTGAGTTAGTTCTGTGGAGATTGACATACTGAAGCTGACATCAGTTAAAAGTGAACTAAGAAAGGTTTATTAATCTTTAAACAAACATCATCTCATATAATGAGCGGTACAGAAGCGTAATTCAGTTGTAGAGACTTAGTTACTTAAACAAGTAGTTCCACTGACAGTAAAGCTTTTACCAACTGTGAGAATCCTTAAACGCACTGCTCTATCTTTAGACACAGTATCACTTGAGAACAGATCCCTATCTGTCTCTCCCACAGGGCAAATAAGCTCTCTTATACTTTTCCTCAGTATAAACAGACAAGTCTTTCTGTTACTGATCCTCTCAATACAGTAACCTTAGCCCTTGTCTGCTGCTTATTCCCTATTCTAAAGGCTCACTTAAAACTTTCTTTCCCTGTCAGATCCCTACTGTAACTTCCTATCTTAACATTTCATCCTTCTGTGTCTGATGTCAAGACACTTCTCCCTCTCTGTCAAAAGCTGACAGCTTATTTCCCTCTCTCAACCGACTCCTCCCCCAATTGCTATACCCAATCAGGAGTCGGCTTGACTCCTCCTCCTGTCTCTGCCTGCCTTCCAAGATGACAGCTACTGTCATGCAGGCTTCGGCCTTGTCGTCTTAAAGGTAGATTCCACTACACTTGCATATATATGTGTGTGTGTCTGTATGTAAGTGTGCATGGGTATATGCATATTTCTGTGTATATGTATATTGTGTATATGTCTATATGTGTGTAAGTGTATATGTGTGTAGGTGTATATATATGAGGGTGTGTATATGTGTATATTTGTGTGTGCTTGCATATATGTGTGTGTGTGTCTGTATGTAAGTGTGCATGTGTATATGCATATTTCTGTGTATATGTATATTGTGTATATGTGTGTTTATATGAGTGTAAGTGTATATGTATATGGGTGTAGGTGTATATGTAGGTGTGTATATGTGTATATTTGTGTGTGCTTGCATATATGTGTATGTGTGTGTATGTATGTGTGCATGTGTATATGTGTATGAACGTATGTGTATATGTATATATGGTTTATTTGGGGGGGGGTTAAAGTCCATTCTGCTGGGTTTTTTGTGTGTGTTTTAGGGGTGATGGACACTCGTTGGCCTTATATGTGTATTGTGTCCAAAATTGGTGTCAATTTGCTTAGTGGTTTTTGAGTTGTGTTAGTCCCACCAATGAACATTGCATTTTTTTATATGTATATGTATGCTTAATTTATTTAATGGGACCTTGCAAATAAAGGCGGTCTTGCCCCAAAAAATATTGACAAATAGATTGAAGAATATATTAATTTGGAGCTTCTCTCAACTTTCTCGTGTAGTTCAGGGGAATGGATAAGAGTTCGTTGGAAGAAAATTGCATGGGACCCAATTGCCCCAAGACTGACGCTGGATCTACACTGCCATATAATCCAGTTCAAAGCAGAGAATGTGGATTCAGATGCTGAATTATAGGGCAGAGTAGATGGTAGGCTTGGGTAATCACGGAAAAAATTGGTTCTAAACTTGTTTCGTTTTTAGGGGTCCCTTGTGTTTTGTTTTTTTTTAATAATTCCGAAATTTTCCTTTTAAAAATTTCGAAATATACGAAATTTCGTATAATTACGAATCAATTCGTTAATGGCGGACGCGATTGCGCAATATGCTAAAAAAACCTCCAAATGGGACAGGGGGAACTTCTGAAGCTTCCCTCTCCCTCTGTTGTTGACTGTTGGTGTGATAAAACAAACAACAACTATAAAACTTGCACCAGACATGCGAAAATAATTACGAAATAATTACGAAATAATTACGAAATAATTACGAAATTGAAATAATTACGAAATAATTATGAAATAAATTGAAAAAATTGTTTCGAAACTTTATTACTCCTCACACAATTCCTGCATGGCTCAATATTGGATCGTAAGCTAATTTAAATACGAATTAATAACGAATTACGAAATTAACGAACGAAACCGCCCAAGCCTAGTAGACAGTCCATGTTTCACAGGCATATAGCTGCCCGTCAATGACCGTCTCGCTTGGACAAGCCTTACTTATGGGGTCACCGTAAGCCAAAGCCCACTGGACGGCAAAGAGCAAACAAGCCGAACTCCCTGGAGCGTGCAAAGCTTTCAAGCATCGCCAACCAAAGTGCAAAGGAATCGCTTACCGATATTAATCTCATCATCGGTCAGAGTGTCCCCGATAAAATCGAACTGAAAGGACTGGAGCGTCTGAGCGAACTTCTGCACGGCGGAGGAATAGCCTGTGAATGGCACAAAATGAGAGAAATAGAAATTCAGGAAACTACCAGTAACGCCAAGAAGAAGACAGTAGGAAGTGAGAAAGACGATAGAACAAGTGGATTCGTTCAACTGAGGAAGCTGCAATGGTTGGCAAGGCTTGAGCGGAGTGGTTCGTCTTGGAAATCTCTCACTGAACAGGTCACTGTGAGTTGAAGCCATTGACAAGGCCAACAATGGCCTCTCTTGTTCTCTAAGCCACTTGGGATGCATCCACACTGCAGAATTGACACAGGGTGGTTGTCGGTTTTTCGGGCTGCCTGGCCATGTTCTAGAAGCATTCTCTCCTGACATTTTGCCCACATCTATGGCATGCATCCTCAGAGGTTGTGAGGTCTGCTGGAATCTAGGCCAGTGGGGTTTACACATCTGTGGAATAATGTCCAGGGAGGGAGAAAGAACTCCCGTCCACCGGAGCCAGGAGCAAATGTTTCAATTGGCCATCCATGACCAGCTTCATTTTAATTTTTTAATTACATTTGGCCTAGCCAGAGATTTTAAAAGTGTATTATCGAAGGCTTTCATGGCCGGAATCACTGGGTTGTTGTAGGTTTTTTTGGGCTATATGGCCATGTTCTAGAGGCATTCTCTCCTGACGCTTCGCCTGCATCTATGGCAAGCATCCTCAGAGGTAGTGAGGTCTGGTGGAAGTAGGCAAAAGGGTTTATATATCTGTGGAAAGACCAGGGTGGGACAAAGGACTCTTGTCTGCTAATCAAGGTGGTCAGTTGAAACATTCACACGTAGCTCCAACAGACAAGAATTCTTTGTCTCACCCTGGTCATTCCACAGATATATAAACCCTTTTTCCTAGTTCCAACAGACCTCACTACTGCTGAGGATGCTTGCCATAGATGCAGGTGAAAAGTCAGGAGGGAATGCCTCTAGAACATGGTCCTCAAACTAAGGTCCGAGGGCCGGATACGGCCTCCAAGATCATTTACCCAGTCCTCGCTCAGGGTCAACCTAAGTCTGAAATGACTTGAAAGCACACAACACACAACAATCCTACCTCATCAGCCAAAAACAGGCCCACACCCCATTGAAATACTAATAAGTTTATATTTGTTAAAATTGTTCTTTATTTTAATTATTGTATTGTTTTAAGTGTTTTTTGCACTACAAATAAGATATGTGCAGTGTGCATAGGAATTCATTCATGTTTTTTTCAAATTATAATCTGGCCCTCCAACAGTTTGAGGGACTGTGACCTGGCCCTCTGTTTAAAAAGTTTGAGGACCTCTGCCCTCGACCATGGCCATATAGCCCGAAAAAACCTACAACAACCCATTTTAAAAGTGTGTTATACTATTGTCAATGCTTATGTTATTGTCTATGTGATTTATTTTTATTGCATGTATTGTTGTCTAAGATCCTCTGGGGAGGCCCTGCTCTCGACCCCGCCTCTATCACAAGTGAGGTTGGCGGGGACGAGGAGCAGGGCCTTCTCGGTGGTGGCCCCCCACCTGTGGAATTCACTCCCCGGGAAATTAGATCAGCGACATCACTCCTTTCCTTTAGGAAAAAAACTGAAAACATGGATTTGGGATCAGGCATTCGGACAATCGGGCAGATAAAGAAAGGACTTTGACAATGGTCAGGAAATGACTAATGGAATGGAATTATGGAACTCTGAAAGATGAACACTGAGCATGAGATTAGTTTTTATTGATTGTGTTATATACCGACTATTTTAACTGTGATAATTCTTTTAACTGCTGCTTTGTACGTATGTGTATTTTGTGTAGGCATCAATTCTGCCTTTTTTGTAAGCCGCCCTGAGTCCCCCTCCGGGGATTGAGAAGGGCGGGGTAAAAGTACCAGAAATAAATAAGAAATAAAATAAATAAATGACAATGTTGCTACTCTCCACTGTCCTCTTCAAACAACTTGGTGACTTTTCTCCATTTTGTTGCACTAACATTCACATGTTTTGAAGTTTGTTGATGTTGTTCATTCATTCAGTCGTCTCCGACTCCTCGTGACCTCATGGACCAGCTCACGCCAGAGCTCCCTGTCGGCCGTCACCACCCCCAGCTCCCCCAAGGTCAGTCAGTCGCTTCAAGGATGCCATCCATCCATCTTGCCCTTGGTCGGCCCCTCTTCCTTTTGCCTTCCACTTTCCCCAGCATAATTGTCTTCTCTAGGCTTTCCTGTCTCCTCATGATGTGGCCAAAGTACTTCAACTTTGTCTTTAGTATCTTTCCCTCCAGTGAGCAGTCGGGAGATGGTAGCAAAGTATAAATAAAGTTGTTGTTGTTATTATTATTATTATTATTATTATTATTATTATTATTATCCTCACCAGCATCTGATGGCCTGACAGTTTTTAGGGGTGGCTTGCCAGTGCCTGAGGGCATCCCTTGTAGAGAGGTGACCAGCTGTCCCTGGTTTGGGGGAGGATGGACCATGGATTATGCGATTTGCAGTACCTTCATCCAATTCGCTTCCCACAGGCCACTGCGACCTCCACAAATGATGGACTTGGACCAAACCTGGCACTCCCCCCCCCCCCCCATTATTATTATTATTACTATTATTATTATTAACTTTATTTGTACCCCGCTAGCATCTCCCGAAGGACTCGATGTGGCTTACAAAGGCCAAGGCCACAATAAAACAGCAATATAACAATTACATATAAACCAAAGCAAATCAAAAACATTAAAGCAATAACAGTAAACAATAAAACAGCACACCGTGGTACAATAAAAACTAGGCCGGGCAAATGTAATGGGTACAGATTAAAGTGTGCTGAGTGATATATAAGGATTTTTGGAGATAAGTGCAATGTGCGGACAATCTTAATCTCTAATAAAGTGCTTTTGGGACATGTTGCTGGGGTTTTCCTATTCTGGAAAAGCACACTGGAACAGCCAGGTCTTCAAGCTCTTCCTAAAGACTGCCAACGTTGGGGCTTGTCTGATGTCCTTGGGGAGGGAGTTCCAGAGTTGGGGGCTACCACAGAGAAGGCCCTGTCCCTCGTCCCCACCAGCCGCACTTGCGACGCAGGTGGGATCGTGAGCTGGGTCTCTCCAGATGAACGAAGAGAGCATGCGGGTTCATAGACGGAATGAATCTGTACCCATTTAATCTGTACCCATGACCCACTTTACGTCCTGGTGTGGTTTGGAGGAGGTTTGGGAACAACAACTGCATTGCATAGTGTTAATGCTGCTTGGTACCACTTTGACTCAATCCTATGGAATCATGGGAGTTGTAGTTTTGCAAGGTCTTGAGCCTTCTCTGCCAAAGAGTGCAAATGACAACTCCAAGGGATTCCCTAGCATTGAGCCAAGGTGGTTAAACTGCATTCGTTCTGTAGTGTGGATGCAACCTAAATGAGAAGACGGCCGTATTCTCAGCCACAGGGACTCAATGTGAATGCGCATAAAGTGAGGTGAGTGCTGTGTCAGACTTCTCAGTTGATGTTGGGTCAAACTGGGAGTGAAATAAAAGCCGGATAACATTGCAGAAGTTGCTGCAATGAGGTTTGGTTTGGTCTCTTTGCAAAATGAAGAGAAATTATTTGCAAAAGTCGTTGGCCTTAATTCAACATGACATCATGGCGTTGGAAAAGCTTGACAGCCAGGTTTGGGGCGGAGGAGGGAGAGAAGGAGGGAGGGCCCACAGAACAACATGCCGTTCCCATTTGGTTTCTTGCTCCGATTCATCATTGAAGCCCTTCAAACCAACACTCTTTGGCCCATTTGCACAAACCCTTTCCATCTGTCTTTGCAGAATGATGGGGGAAAGAAAGAGTTCCTGGCAACACCTATGGAAAAGAAGGGGGGGGGGAACACCAAAGCGGAGCCGTCCAGCCTCCATCTGTCTAGCCGTTGGAAGGCTTGATGAGCAAACTCTTAATCTGATTATGGAGAAGACAAGAGAGAGCGAGAGAGACCAGGCTTGGAACAGATGCCGTCCGTCCATCCGTTGGAAGCACTTCGAATAAGACTCATGTCATTGCACCGAGCTCTGAGGATCACCTGGGAAGGAATCCCACTGGAGCATTGCAGCGCACCCAAATACCTGGGAGTCACTCTGGACCGTGCTCTGACCTACAAGAAGCATTGCCTGAACATCAAGCAAAAAGTGGATGCTAGAAACAATACCATACGAAAGCTGACTGGCACAACCTGGGGATCACAACCAGACACAGTGAAGACATCTGCCCTTGCGCTATGCTACTCTGCTGCTGAGTATGCATGCCCAGTGTGGAACACATCTCACCACGCTAAAACAGTGGATGTGGCTCTTAATGAGACATGCCACATTATCACGGGGTGTTTGCGCCCTACACCACTGGAGAAATTACACTGTCTAGCCGGTATTGCACCACCTGACATCCACCGGGAAGTAGCAGCCAATAGTGAAAGGACCAAGGCAGAGACATCTCCAGCTCATCCCTTGTTTGGGTATCAGCCAGCACGTCAACGACTTAAATCTAGAAATAGTTTTCTAAGATCTACAGAAACACTTGCTGGAACACCTCAGCAAGCGAGAGTCCAAAAGTGGCAGGCTCAAACCCAGAACCTCAACCAATGGCTGATACCAAATGAGAGACTCCCTCCTGGGCACACAGAAGACTGGGCGACTTGGAAGCGCTGAACAGACTGCCCTCTGGCACCACGAGATGCAGAGCCAACCTTCAGAAATGGGGCTACCAAGTGGAATCTTCGGCATGCGAGTGTGGAGAAGAGCAAACCACTGACCACCTGCTGCAATGCACCCTGAGCCCTGCCACATGCACCAGGGAGGACCTTCTTGCAGCAACACCAGAAGCACTCCAAGTGGCCAGATACTGCTCAAAGGACATCTAACCAACTACCAAACTCATAAGTTTTGTATTTTGTCTGTTTGTTTGCTTTGTTCTGTTAGAAATGTGATATAATGGACTGGTTGCCCTGACATGACAAATAAATAAATTGCACCAAAACCAAGGGGGATCTCTTCCTCCCGC